TCCCTACACAATGTCAAAGAATGAAATAGGATGTGGACTTGGTGAGAATTTCATAGTGAAACAGACAATTAAGTTAATTTTGAAGACAACAGACAGCAAGACAGCAGAGCTGCTTGACACACACCAACAGCTCAAGACTAGCCATGTACCACTTGTAGCACTTGCTTTTTATCGCTACTCACCCGCAGAGTTTTAATCTGAAGCGTTCCCTGATCTTGTATGGATGTTCGAGGGTCTCTGCCCAGGAAGGTGAATCCTTCTTTTAACCAGCTGATGACAGGAAGGGGGTCACCGGTTGCCTTGCACTTCAGCAAAGCTGTCCCATCCACTGCCAGCGTCTGATTGACCGGTCCCTGGAGGATGATGGGTGGAGGCCTATCTGTCAAGACTAAACAGTGACAGACGCATTGGCATCCACACCTTTAACGACCCTCTGCTGCAGTTAGCCCTTTCCTTGACACTACCAATTTTAACAGACTGGTTTAAGTTAGCCTCTAAAAGGCTAAAAACATTATTTTTGGAAGACCCACAGATACATTTTAACAACTAACTGGTATATTTGAAAAGCATTTTTGTAAGAATTTTATTTCACTACTGCAAGATAACACCTAGATATATAAACTTCTGTTAGCAAAAATCATCAGACTCATTTGATTAAGACAGGATGAAAATTAAGACGTTGATCCAGAAAAGAACTGAGGTACACCTCTTATTTTTTCCAATTTAGGAAAGCACTTAAAGCACATGTTTAATGTCACATCAAAATGTGCTTAATTGCTTACCTGATTTAGGACCTAAAAGAAAAAATCTGTTAAAGTTCAAAGTGAAACACCAGAGCCATTCTAGCATGGGTACCAACCACATCCCCCATTCATGCTCAACTTGCGAGTTTTCAAAAATATCTAACAATAATACAAAACGTTTTCATAATCTGAGTGATCTAAATGACTGTACCACTCTAACTCAATCAAGTCATTTAACAGCTTGCTTATCAAATAATTTCATCACTTTTTAAAACCATGAACTCTCTTAATTCTTTTCCCCTTATAATTTACATTTGCATGCTTGAAATACTGCTTAAAGGACTCTGTAACCAGTGACCCTCATTCTATGACCAGTGGGATATCTTGAAGTTGAGGTAAAATGCTTGTATTTGCTTTTCTTGAAAGACCAATTTTTCATAAATAATTCTGCTGTTGAACCTATTCTCTGAGCCATCTGTTAAGCAGCAAAATATAACCCTTGGTTTCTAAAGAATGTGTTTATACAAAATGAATGTGAAATACCTGAATATAAACAAGCTATGACTCCTGCATAAAATCAGTATAACAGAGAATTCATTTTTCTGTATTTACCTGCCACACTGCTGCTGTTTTATATCTTCGAACAACTGAACAATTATATGATTGGTATTAAATATTGTAACAGGCAGGATTAGCTCCTAAACCAGTGTAAATTAGCCTGCCTCCACTGATGTCAATTGAGTTTGAATCATTTATTCTAGCTGAGAATTTGGTTCATTATAGTCCATACACAACACCTGACTCCAACAATGAAGTGAAAATAAATTGTTGTGAAGCAAAATGGTTTCTGTTATACTTGAGCTGTTTGAGATGCAAACCTCTGGAACCTTCAATAGATCCAAAGCACCTTCATTACATTATTTAATAAACAAAAAATATGAGGGAGAAGTTAGTGGTACATTTTATACCTAAAATAATTGTTTCTGAAATTGTAATATTGCAAAAATACTAACTACCTTCCTTTGTTAACAAGATACACAAAGGATAGAATCATTAGTATTAGTAGCACCTTGGGGTGTGAGTTCATCACATTTATTGAAATTGAAACTGAAAACAGAAAGCCAATACAGATTATTTATTAAGACCAGACCGTGAAAGCTATTTTGGAAATTCTGAAATATCACCCACTGAACACAGAAATAGGACAGGAAACACTATATTACAAGAAAAGAGAAAATGTAATGCATTTTCACCTTGATATGAAATTTTTGATCTCATTAAGGTTCCTTATGACTACACAGTTCATCCATTTGGTGAAATAAAAATTGATCTCAGCTCATATGTACTACCAGCATACCTGCAGCATGAGTATATTCAAATGAAAACTTAGCTGTGTAAATTTTCATTTAGATTTAACGTAAAACAGCAAATCCCAATTTTCTAGGTAGCTAAAATTGAGTAAAAAGAATTACTTAAGTTGCTGACTATTCCATTGCAATTATATGCTGCATCTAATTGCCTTTCATATGTGTAGCAATATAGGTATTTTCAAAACCTACTGCATTACAGATATTGTTCTTTAGCATGTAATTAGTTTTTTTACAGCCCAAATGAGGAGCTCATAATCCTTTAAATAGCTCTGATCGATAGTGTAATTGAAAGTCTCCTGGCCAGAAGGAATCTTCATTTTCAAGGGTGTTATGGGTGAAAGACCACTACAGGTTTCCATGACACTAAGGCTAAAGGTTAAATGAACACTTAGGGTTTCCACTGATCTGTGAACGACTGTATTGTCTTCACAACTATGACTTGTAAATCTTCTCTAAAACGTGTATACGCGCTTGTACTCCTACTACATAGGTCTCTGTACGAGGACTCAAAACTCGGTTAGAGGTTTAAAATGATATATCGTAAGCATTCCGAAGAACAGAGAGATAATGAAAAATATCTACAAAAAGGTTGGGGTTTTTGTTAGTTTCTTTTACATTTTAATTTTTTATTTAAATTGTATATTTTCTGCTAGCAGGAAACTTTTATATCCATTCTATGGAAACATTTTGTGTGGCTAAAATATACTTCCATAGTAAAAGAGAAGTTGATTTCAAAATTAATTTAATTTTAGAAAATGGTTTTGAAACTATTTGTCAGCAACCATATATTCACATATTCTCATAACTGAAAAATGATCAGATTCCTTTTGTGATAAAATGCAGTTTAAATTTTGAGCAGAGTATCAGAAAAGAAAAAATTATATTTGTTAATGAACAGTTTATTCACTACAAATGCAATTTGGATCAATTGAAACCATGTTTAAATTTGGTCAAATTACAACAGGAAATTAAAACAAGAGAATGGCAAAATGAAGTCCTTACTTTGGCACTTCCAAAATCAACATTTCAAGAGTTTTCCTGGTGAATTAATGGGGAAAAATCAGACACAAGTCACAAAATTCTGATGAACACTACCATGATAGGGTTGGGTGCTCTCCTGAGAGGTGGAAAAGCAGAGACCAACCCTTCCTCTGTCTTTTTGCGGAAGAGCTTCACAGGAGGCTGTGAAGTTGTTCTGAATCTCTCCCATTTGAAACTGTCACACTTGCTATAAAACATATCATATACAGTTGATCAGGGACAGGAATCATGGTTGCCAGATTTGCAGATGAGTAAACTGTGAGTGATATTAAATTCTTCCAGGAGGACTTGAGAGAGACATATCCCAGAATATTCAATAGACCTATAGTCAAAAGACTGCAGAGGAGTTTGAGAAAAATGCCTTAAGTATCTATTCCAAATCAGTGGAGAGGGAGTTGTTGACGTATGCTGCCAACTCCTTCTCTCTTTTCTTTTTTTTTTTTTTTTGACATCTGTTCTGAATTTTTCTTATAAGTCCAGCTTTTTGCTTTCATTCAAAAGCCCTGAAATGTGATCTTTTTAATTAATTAAACGTCCTAAAACATTTCATTCTTTGGTTGCCATCCACTGGGGGAGGTTAAGTTTGCTCCTCCATTCCAATACCCATCCTAAACTGCAACTGCTGGGTAAACTAGCATTGGTAGGTCGATCCTACAGTTGCGCATGCAGTGGTCAAAATTTTTATTAATACATATAAATAATGACTAGATTAGGAGAAACTGATATCTTCTCCAAAATACTCTGTGCATGATGGATAAATTTATGGAATAAATCACTAATTGTAAACTGTTCTTTTTATCTTGAGCAAAGACATAGTTAGATGGAAGCATTTGGTTTATTTGCATGATCTATCATTTTAAGACTGTGTGCTGCATATTCACTTCTTGAGTTTGAAAGGACTGCTAAGATTGCCTCAGTTTTTAAAATTATTTTGCTTTTCCATATGTGTGTTAGACAGTGGATTACATGATAGCCTTTCAAGAAAATACAAGATTTGAATTTCAAATACACTGAAGGCTCTTAGCACAGTCCATAATCAGCAAAATTATCACTCAACTCAGCACATTTCATCACAGCTAGTAATCTCTTCTCATGTGAACACTTGAGTTAAAAATATTTCCAGTAAAGACTTGTAAGTGCAAAAATGTAACAACTGAAACACTGCTATATATGGTATAATTAAGCACTTGTTTTTCTGCACATGACATATGTTTTCATTCTGTATTGGAACTTCAATTGGATCTAAATTACTCTGGATCAAACAAAAATGTGTTCAAAATGAAAAAGATGGCTCGCCACTATTATTAAATCATTAACCAAACAGAAAAATTCTGGGCTATGAAGTAAAACTGAAATCACCAGCCAAAAACTAGAACACTAATGCTTAAGTATATAGCTAGCATGCACAGTATTTATCTTTTATTACATTTTTAAAACCATTAAATTAGATTTCCCTACTGATCAAAATCATTACCTTCCATAGTTTCTGCTCAGCATCAACCAAAAAAGATTATTTAGACATTTACAGTTAACTTCTTAACTGAAAGCAATTAAAAAAAAAAAAAATCTGTGATCTAATGGTACATTTATTTATATAATCTCAGTTCCACAATATTGTTCTGGCACTTTTCTCCTGACCTCACGTGCCCTTTGACTCAAGGTTGAAATGGTATTTCTATAAAGCAATCTTGCATTGTTTCATAATGATCATGCTGACAGTGGGTTCTGGAAAGCATCTGAAGAACGCAGGCCTTGCATTCCTTGAGCAGCAGAGCTACCAGCTAATGCTTTCTCTAGCAATGTGGAATGCACACCGCCTTTAATCAGAATTAACTGTAGTTGAGTTTGCATTTTAGCAGCGACACCTTCGTGAGCTTTCTCTTGGTTTGTTAAATAAACTAACTAAAATTCCAAAGAGGTCATTAGGATTTGTGTTTTTTTTTCCCCCACACAAGAAATAGATAAAGATGGAGCACAGGCCTTGTCTGTCAAAAGAAAGAATTTCTCATCACTAATATCCTTGAACCTGATTTGATCCTCTCGGCCCCTGTTGCAGTAAATCTGTACAGCATCAGCAGGTGCAACCATTAACAGCTCAATGTCCTCTTAGCCAATGTTTGTGTGTTCTATTTATTCCAATCACAGTCATGGCACTGAATCAGGCAGCGCTATGGACAGATATTAAAAAATACTGCCTTTCCATTAATTTTAAATGACCTTTTAATCTACATTTAAATTTGAATTGAATGAAAATGCATCATTTTGTCATAGAGCATGAGAGAAAGGACTTAAAGAGACTGCAGAGCAAAGGTTAGCCTTTAGTCTCCAGAAACTACTTTACAGAAAAGCAATGTGCTTGTAAAGATACAAGGATAAGGCAGAAATTATCTTCCCTTGTCATAAAAATATAGACAGCTTTTGGAAAACAAAGAAAAGACATCAAATTAATGCTCAAACCTCCGTAACACGAGTCTGAACCTCTCTACCTGTCACTTGTGATGAATATGCTCTTGTGAAAAGCCAGATTATTCAGCATTAGACATCTTTTCAAACTTTCATGGTGCAGGCAGGTCTCTAAGGGAACAGTAAAAGTAGACCTCTGCATATAACAACAGTTTTAATGGCAAAAATTCATCAAAGTCTGTCAGGAGATATTTAATGAGTCAGTTAAGATAAGGAATAATGATGTCAGGGAATGCAACAATCTCCTAGTATAAGAGGAATTCTGTTGTTTTCTTTACTAACATTAAAGGATGCAAACTGCCTTCTATCCACAATGGGATGAAGAGGGACATCAACAGGATCCCTGACATATGAAAAGGATTCATGTTTGTGGATGGAGCAAGGTAAACTTCAAGGCAGGATAACTTTCCAAGCCAAAATTTTGAAATGGTAAGCATCAAGACAGATCATGTAGTGCTTTTCTCTTCCTTTCCTGAAAACCGTACCTATGTATTTACATGTCTCTTTTCACATCTAACCATACTGAGAAATTCTTAGAACACAGCTCTAAGGTAAGGAAATATCTTCATGCCTTATTGCCACAGAGACTAAAGGGCTACATGTTGTAGCTGTTCTAAACCAACAGAACTCCAGTAAGTTCAAGGCATCTGTGTTGATTTAACTGACCTGAGGACACATCCCTGAACTAGCTGCCTAAGATGATACTGAAGACTGGGACTGAGCTGGGAATTGAGCCTGATTTTTCTGCACCCCAGTTCACTGCTTTAATCACAAACCTATTTGTTCTTCACAATATTTTTTGCAGTCCTGTCTTAGCTCTAGTGAACCAAGAAGCTTGCTTTCTCACCAACCCTATTCTAAGCTGATGTGTACCTTGTTTGTATTATTAGGGAACCACCAGAAGGCAAGCAAAAGGCAAACTAGACTTCAATGCCTTTCTGATACCATAGAGCATTGATTTTCTGTAGAAACTTGTTTGTTTACTAGTATGAATTATATGATCTCATATGCCTTTATGTACACTACTTTTAAAATACTTTTGACAGGAAAAAACAATAGGAATCTCTATAGCTCACCATCAGTAACCTCCAGCTGAGCCTTTGCTAAAATGCTTCCAGCAACCGTCAGTGCTTGACAAATGTAGTAGCCTGCATCAGACCGCTGAATGTTGGTAATAGTGAGGTCTCCGGTTGGTGACACTGAATACCTGCTGTTGGGTTGGAGAGGCTGGTTTGGGAAGAGTAGATTCTGCAAAGACAATTCATCTTACATCAATTCAAAACACAAAAGCACCACTTTTCCCTCAGCTAGAGAGACAATGATTTTTCCTTAGAAGTACTATATATAAACTAGAAGAAAAAGTAAGTGTGGTTATGACTTTATGAACACATAGAGCTAGCTTTCCGTGCCTTGGGCAGCTTGCAGTTTAAATTAGAAACAGCCCTTTGACAGCACACAGTGGTGTGCTCTGGCTGGGGGTCCAGGCGAGGAGAAATTTTCCAACAGTCGCACTTGAGTGATTTGTATTTGTGACACATTCATCTTCATTCTGAATTTAATTGTAATAATATACTTAGTTGGCTGTCAAACCAGGAGGACCCAATACTACAGTAAACATTAGAAAACTAGCAGAAAGAATTGAATCCTGAAGACTTGAGGGAGCATAGCACTATTGTTTGGCTGTGAATATGTTCTGGGCAAAGGAGAAAGTAAGAGCATGGCACAGAAGGAAAGCTGGGAGGAAGAAACAAACAGGTCATAAAGGAGAAGCTGGTAGAGCATGAGATCTTAAAAGAGAAGTAAAAGGAAAACTAAAACGGAAATATACCAAAGGAGAAAAGCAGCATGGAGCCTTGAGGGTGAAGAGAAAGGGTATAAATCTGATATGGAAATCATCAGAGAGAAAAAATAACCTCATGTAGGATAAGACATCGGTTAGCACAAAACAGGGAGATTAGTTTTTGCCTTTGGGCTGTATTGGAGAAAAGAGAGATGTCAATAAGAAAAACTGGAATGGATGTAGCAGTCATTGCATATGATGAACAACTGAATCAATCAATAATACAAAAAAGGACGGAAAAGCTTTTAGTGGTGAGGGCTGTGTTTTCAAGGAGAAAGTTATACTGTCTGGCACAGCCCTTGATGTGTATAAAAAAGAACAGGAAAAGGGAGGCAATGTGAACAGAAAGGTCAGCATCATTGCCCAATGAGACAGAAAGGGGAATAGATTAAACAATAATTAAACAACAGTAATTCCAGTCTGGCTTTCCTGTCAGCTCAACAAGCCTCTATGATAAATACAATTGTTTGTATCAGGAACATCCCAACACACTGTTACCATGCTGTGATAAGGTTTCAGTCATTACTGCAGCTCTGTATAGCTCTGCTGTGCTTTCTAATGATGACTCCCTACTAACTTTTAAGCTTGTCTATACAGGCTAAAAAGAAAATCTAAAAGTATAGAGTAGTGTATTAAATGAATTTTCTGTAGATCTGCTTCTTCTGCAGTAGACCATAACGGTTTACAAAAAATGATTTGGAGCTGACAAGTGACAAACTTGGATCTTAAAAAATTCTGCTTTGAAGTGAAATTCACACCTTTATCTCTAGTTTTGACAATAAAATGAGAGAGATATGCTTTAAATAAGATCCGACACTCCAGGTATCCTTATAATTGTATTAACCTACTAGGCTACTTGTCACCCTAGGGTGAGTCTTTCCCCCTACTCCCTTTCTATGTCAACGTTCAAGAAATTTTTCCTCAAAAATCAATATGCACCCAGTAAACATGTCAGATCCAATAGGAAAAAAAGTGTGAAAATTCTGAAACAATTTCAGGCTACAGGGCTAAGTGGGTCTCGAAAAATTGCCCTGTTTTCTGAATTGCCTTGAAACTTTCAGAATAACCTCTGCCTGGCACAGATACCTACCAAATGAGGGTATTATGAAAACTCCACTAGATTTTATGAGAAAGCAGAGAATTTTGATATGGCTGAGCTTGACTCCATTTATCACTCATGCAAAGTGTAAAAAGAAACACAACATAAAAAGACAGTGCAAGGATCAAGCTCCTAATTCTTAAGAGAAAAAAGATCCAGAATCCTCTTCATCACTGCATTAGGAAGGGGAGGCTACCCTTCTTTTCATCTTCAGCGTGGGCTTATCTGTTCTTGAGAGGTGCCACATCCCAGTGAATATTCCACACTTCAGGAGGAACTCATCAGTCTCATGACTCCTCCCTTCAAAGACCAGATAACTATGAGTTATAGCTTGTCCTAAACTACAGTACAACCTCTTTTTAAATGTTTTTACAATTTCACAGGTTTTAATTAGCTGTCGGGTTGCTCATCTGGGCACAATGGTGGCATGCTGGGTTGCAAACAGGGGGACCAGAGTCATCTCTGATGTAATACCGTGGAATTTATTTCAAGGAAGAATTTAATCTAGAGAGTCTAAGGTTACGCACACCCTGCCCTGGTGCATTTCATCGGCGGGTGGCTGTTAGGCTCTGGGGAAAAGGCTACCGAGTACAAAGGACCAGCTGTTTATGCACATGTTGGCACAGAAAATGACTCAGGAGGGAACAGCTCCCCTCCCTTCCAGCTGGTTGTGCTCAGAAACACAGGATTGAGAAATGGATTCACAATGAAAAATTCCCTAAAATTACTGGAGTGGGCTAACATGACTACATAACATTACTCTGAACACTAAGAGTGGTGCTGCAAACAGTTCCTTGAGTAAAAGTAAAAGCAGAAGCAAGCATTGTAAAGCCAAGCAACAACTTATAGCCAGGTATGTAAAGGTGAAAAGCCATGTATGTTCAGTGGACAACGCCTAATTTGGCCAAAATACCATCCTTCAGATTTGTATGATGATATACAGTATGTGGAAACTCACCTATTCTATGGCGTCTCTTTGCAAAATCTGGCAAGTTGTATATTGAGACAGTAACACTAACCTGTGTTACTTCACTGATGCTCAATTAAGATTAACATGAGGGTGTAGTGAATCACATTGAGCTATGTTTCAAGGTTTGATGATAAACCATGTAGGTATCAATTTTTATGTTGCATTTATTTGCCAAAAAAAGACCATTCTAACCCTCAGGGATCTAGTTCTCAATATGGCAATTAATTTTCCAGGTTTGTAATTAAACAGCTTCAACATGGTACAATCAGTAGGTAATAACATTCAATTAAAGACACAAGATGCATTTTCACCTTAAAATGTTTTTACCCTTGAAGTGATACCAATGGAAGAGGATAAAATAGAGTATTAACACTTTTCAATTACGCTAAATGACTTTAATCCTGCAAATGATGTCCTACTTTAATTAGAAGCTCTTCTCTTTATTACAGCATGATGGATGTCCACTTTATTAGATTCAAGTGTGACACTATAAGCTCACTTTACATAAACATTACCATGTTATTAAAATGCTCTACAAGGAAGGGTTTTGAAATGTTTGCTAGCACATCAGTACTTCCTACTTTAATTTCAATATGCTATTCTTCTTTCCCCTTGGAACAATTTTCACCTTAGTGAGACTCACAATACTGTGCTTTTCCAGGATGTGATCCATGGAGGCTAGACTTAAAGTTGTCCAAATAATATGCTGAAAGAAACACACTGAAGACTAAGCTTACACTCATACAAGCTTACACTCATAAAGTAATAGTGTTGTATCTTTGTAAGTCACAAATGCAACAGAACACAAAATGCTGTCAGCCGTGGTCCTGTCGTTCCGGACCACTTATCTGACCTTGTGAAAAGGTGAAGCAGAAGCAGGTGGGGCAGAGCGGGGGATCTGCAGTTCAGTTCTTATTTTACTTTTTAACTGAGGTGGTACACACACTGTCTCCAGATTAGACAAAAGACATATCTGCACTGCACAGCACAGTGTGGATACTTGAGTTAACTCACATATCGCCATACAGGAAAAAGTAGCACAGGGTTCTGAAAAGACTAATTTAGCCAATGGAGAAGGGTACGGCAGTATAAATACACAGACCGACGTAGCCATGACAGGTTTCGTCAGGGAGCTGCAGAAGGCACTGTCCTTGGGCATCCATTTGCCCCTTTTAATCTTTTCTCAGGTGCAAAAGAGAATATGGCACATAATTTACAGTGTTCAAATTTAACATACTAACATGAACTACACATTGAAAGTGAGAAGGACTGACTTCTGCTGTAACATAGTGCCAATATAGCAACAGCAGTAAAAAAATGTTATGGCATTGACATTCAAACATTAAGCTATAGAAGTTAGTATTGGCTGATGGCAAGATTGGCTGCTGTATCAGAAATTTTGCTTTCAAAAAATGACTGTAAGGATCAGGGAAATATTTCCAAAACCAGATTCAGAAATTTCCTGAGACAATTTTACTGAAGAAAGCATCTGCCTGTTCAAAACCTGTATCTGTATGCACTATGAGAATATGCCAATGCAAATCAGCTTGCTAGATATATATCTGCTTGATCATGTCTAGACAGGTTGTGAACTGTAATTATTGACTCTGATTAGTTAAAAATTGAATCATACCTTTTTATCTACTACGTTTGTCTCACCCACCTGTTTGTTGAGGGTTTCAGAATGAAAAGTCTTTAAGATATATACTGCTGCTTTCTATTTGTTTATACAGCACCTAGCACAAGTTTCACCAATGGCCTTTGAGTTCTTCACAATATTAGTATTTTTTAAAAAAAGCAACAAAAATGTGGGCAGACCATAGTAATAGTTTAAAAGACAAATTCCTGTGAAAGATCAAAAGAATCTGAGAAAGGTAATATAAATAATATTCCTAAAAATTTAACAATATAACTATTTAGAAAGGCTTGAAAGACTTACAGGGTGCTTATAACTTACCTGGCTTCCTTCTTTTTGCCAGAAAACAGCTGGCTGGGGATTTCCTTTAGTTTCACAAGGAAAAGTCACGGTTCGACCCTGGGCTACAATCTGGTCTCGTGGTCTCACCACAAACTGTGGGGGAGCTACAACGTAAGAAAAACCACGGTGTAAATTTAGGATATTTTGCAAGGGGCAGATGAGGAATATTGAAGGGAGCGACAACATTATGGAGATTTGTTTTATGCCAGAGGACGTAACACCAGAAACATTAATTAGTATAGACAGAACTAATACATAAACAAAAACAACAACAGCAACAAAAAGAGCAGCAATATCAGTATATGATATCCCCAGTTGTTTAAAAAAAAAAAAAAAAAAAAAAAAAAAAAAAAAAAAAAAAAAAAAAACAAAAAAAAAAAAACCCCATTAACATCAACAACTACAAAACATATAAAAGACAGGTGGTCCTGTAATGAGTTATGTTACGAGTGATACGTAGAAGAAGATGGGCAGTATATTGCTTCTAAAATACCATCTAGTCATCAGTTTCCACACTGCATCCTTGAGCTCCCGGTTCCTCATGCTGTAGAAATTCAATAAAAGATAAGTGTAAGATGAAAAAGTATGCATTAAGTATCTGACAGATAGTGATTAAAGAAAGGCAATTTTGAGAGCTGTCACTCTGGCGCTTCTCTCTGGCTGTTCATCAGGGAGACAGTCTCCCTCAGTGCCTGGTCATTTTGTATCTGATCACTTGGTGTGTCAAGCAGAACCAGAAATCTGCTCCTCTGCTTTCAAATGATTGTATAAGACAGAAAGATACAAAAAAGAAAGGATCTTTTGGTATATGGAAAAAAAAAAAAAAAAAAAAAAAAATAAAACCCCCCGTTTTTTAAAAAAAAAAAAAAAAAAAAAAAAAAAAAAAGGAAAGAAACATTACAACCATACATGCTAGACCCAATTCTGATGACAATAAATGCTAAGGAGCAGCGCAGACAGGTGTTTATGATGCTGGCTCTGGACGCGTTCTACCTTTCTTCTGTGCAGATATCTACACTTCACAGAGCTTGTTGTTGTGCTGGAGCTATTGTGTATTGCAAGGTATGAATTAGGATATACAGACTACCTTTTTCAGTCTGCCCCTCGACTTTTACAAATGATTGAGAAAGGAGAAGGAGGTCTGGATGACAGCAGAAGGGACAGAAGTTCAAGAGCTCCCTCACTTCTGTTAGGGGCAGTGTGATCAAGAATGGAGTGGGAAGGAGGACTTGCTGTAAAAAAACATGGTTGCTAAAACACAAACTTGGGAGATCCAGATTTCAGCTTGTGTAAAGACAAGAAAGAAGCAAGAGTTGAAGAGTTAGTGGGCAGCAGTGAGTAAGAAGGAATAGGTATTCCAGGAGATCAGGAAGAGACAAGGAAAAGAAAAAAGGAGAAAGAGAAGTTAAAACAAGAAAGAACCAGGACTGGCTATGTTTTCAAGTAGATAGCATTAACAGTGTTCAGGCATAGGGGACCAGGAAGCACAGTCAGAAGTGAACAATTTCTACAAGAGAGATGTAGTTTTACTTGTCTGGGGGTACTGATGAAGAATAGAGAGTCAATGTTTAGTGGGAATAAGAAGGGAGAGAAAAGGTGTTAATCTGCAGAAGGAAAATGGGGAAGAAGCAGTGTTGGAGGACTTGAGAGAAAAAATATGACATCAGCAACTATGTTGAGCATGATGTGATAAACCAAATGACTTTTCTATGCATGACATGCAAACCTTCAAGTCTTAGTTCAACACTGGAATTCACTGGAATTGGATTTATACTATTATTTGGAATATCTTAAAAATGTAAGCAGTGTCTCCAAATATTCTCACCAAAAGACTAGCTAACTTTTGGGGCAGGCTGAAGAAGGGGACAAAATAATAATAAAAACCCCCCACATTAAGTTTCTTCTATTCCACTATTGGTTTGGTGGTTGTGGAGAGGGATGGTTTAGGAACACTAAGCTTTTACGTAAACAGAATTTAAGTGTTTTAGAAAACCATATTTTCACCATTATAATTACAAACTATTTAATTAGGCACGAAGAGCAATCAAGACCCAGCTTCCGATTACACCTGCTGATAGCACAGACACAAATCTGCTAACTGCATAGAAATGTATGCAGATCTGATTTTTCTGAAATACACTTTACAGTTATCTCATGAGGTACTTCCCAAGGCTTTACAGATCAGCAGGAGTCTAAAGAGCACCAGTTGAATAGCACTAGTTTAATGCATTCTTAAAACAAGAACTGCAAAGCACTTAATAAACATGAATCACCATCAATTTAGAAAGCAGAGGGTGAGGACAACAGGAGGAGTCTTCCTTCTGCCTCACACTCCTAAGCACGGTTTTGTCCTCTCTGGAGAGAGAAGTGTCCATCTCTTCTCTGGGCCTCAGCAGGTGTTAGTCTTCTGAAAGGGCAGGGACGAAGGGCTAGGTGCCCTGCTGCTGCCCATTTATACCTATATGTTTTGAGGTTTCTGTTGCTACACATACTCTGGGATCCAAACTCATCCTGTACTATTCCTGAAATGCTGGAGTACAGCAAGTTACTTGTTTTTTCCCTCACCTTGTTTTACCTAGCACATCTGTATGCAACCCCTACAGGTGTCAGAAAGCAGTAATGTGGTAATCAGTGCATGTGTTTCTTCATTCAGTCATATGGGAAGGGAAAGGGAGAAAGACCTTTAAGTTGTGAATTAGAAACCTCCATTCCTATAAGCATACTTTACACTAAGGTATCTCTACAGTTCTGACCACCCACTTAATAAAGGTCACTGAATTAGTTCAGTGTTTGCTGCTCAGCCATAGAAGCTCATTGCCCGGGATATTAATATAGAATCAATAGCAACCTCAGGCAGAAGAGAGAGCAGAAAACCTCTAACCTCTTCAGGTGCTATATCTGCATTTGACAGGAACTATGCATGAGTCCTATGTCTGTGCTGTGTTATGGGTGGCCTCAAGACTATCATCTTTCTATCGTGATGCTAAAAACCTGGTGTCAGGAGACCATCCCATAGATCATACCTAAGCATGATCGATGCCTAAGATCACTTCATAGGCATGCTTGGGGCACTGGGGGTATGTTATGCAGACGGTGGTCTGAGACAGCTCAACAGAAGGAAGACGGGCATGGCATTTCCATGAGCCTATCTTTCAAATCACGTAACTGAATAAATGCAAGGTAGGTAAGTTTAAGGGTTCACCTGAAACATTCTCACACACACAAGGCTGTACTGTAAGCCCATAATTCAAAGCTCTGAGCAGATGTAATAGCACTGAACTTGTTGCTGTAGCAGACTTTCCAAGGACCAAATTAAGGTAGTTTGGTAGCCAAGGAACAATGAGAGATAGACATCCTAGTTTCTATCTAGTTTCTAGTTTTTGACCTACCCCTAACTTTGAACATCTCTCACTTTCTCAAGAAAACGGATCCTTTCTTTTCCAAAAAGAGACAAGGAGAAGAAGCAGGAGTTAAGGCTGTAGCTGAGTCCAGATAAACCAAACGTGGACTGACCCTGTTGTTCTGTTCTCTCCCTGCAACACACCAAGTCCTCTCCAGCATTTGCCATAGTAGGTAAACAGAAAATCCACGGCCTCATAGCTACTAGTTTAAACCTTCGAAAGACTCCAGTAAACAATGATGTATGGTTACGTGAGGATATTTTTTGCTAGCTTTTCTCTGCAGCTATAATTACTACAAATTCACTACAAAAATAAATAAATTAATCAGAGCTTTTATTTAAATACGATCTCTTGATCTCACAAAGAGCTGACTTTTATTGGTCACTACATTACTTAGAGCACAAAACCAGTTCCGTCAGCCAAACTACTTCATGTCATAATTTTAAAGAACATGAAAAACGTCATATTGGAAAAATAAAACCTTGCATGTGTTTTTTCAATTTATTCAAAGATGGGGTTTTATAATGAACGAAACCCCCATTTTGTTCCAGTTCATTGTCATATTCAGCTACAACTCTGTTTATAGACAGCCTCTGATAAAAATGACCTTGTTTACAGTATTTAAACAATGTTTTCACCATATCAGATTTATCTACCAGTTTCCAGTTGAATAATGCAAATTGCTGAAAGTAACAGTTAATAATTGCAGGAGTAATTCTTGGTCATGTGTAACTACCAAAGCAGTAAGACTGCCATTATCCCCAGAGAATGCAATGCGACCCTGCTCAGAGACAGCAAGTCTTCTTTGACAGAATAAGCACTTGGGCTCCTCAGTTTTCCTAAAAATAGAGCTCATTATCTTCATATATAGATGCTGTTTATAAAGATAGATAAATATTATTACTCCAGTTTTGCAGAAAGGTTAACTGAGATCATGACTTCCTCAAAGCTCAGCTTCAGTGCAACATTGGGCAAAACCTAATTCAAGCCATTATTGCTTCTCTCTGAGCAGGTGAATTTTTAAAACATTCTGAATAGGTACAGTTAGAGAAATAGCAGCAGGCTTGATATGCTTCAGCTGTTAAAGTTATGTGGTACTTTAATGCTTAATTCAAGCTAAACATTAAGGTCATTAGAAGAATCTGTTGAAAAAACTGTTGCGAAGCAGCAAACTGAGTGTTGTGCCTATCAAACTATTACCCTTTACTGTTTCAGATGTAACGTTAACTGGATTGGAATAAACAGAGTGGAAAAACTCTTGCTTAATTGACATTTGAAAGTCAAAGACAATGCCTCTAAAAGGAAATATATTGCTTGGATTCCAGGGGACTAGACGAAAATATGAAAAAAGAACAATTAAGACTACAGACCTAGTATACTTCGATTGAAACTTCTCTTCCCTTTTTTTTTTTTGAGAAATTTAAATAATACACAGTAAATTAGATTTGATTTCTGGCAAATTATGCTTTGATACTGCATTCAGCAAGCGCTGGCTTCAATCAATGTCACACTAAAGCTCTGTTATGCTAATAGCCGCTTGTGAGGCTGAGCGGGATGATATGGAAATCAGATGGTTGAACATGAATAGAAAGCATAGGCCATGTACGAGGGGGCTTTGAGATGAGCGGATGGGGAGACCCTAAGGTTAATCACATCATGTTCAGAACTGTTTTTACAGCACAGAACAGTATTCTGCTGCAAGA